AGGAAATTCTCTCTTCATAGCAGGAGTAGCCTTATTATAGTTCAAGTCTCTTCCTTCCAGTGCATGTGTCTCGGCTCTGCTGCCTCACTGTAAATCAGGCCAGGGAATACCTGTAGGGCACGTGCCACATCATTTTTGCTCTTGGAGACTTGGTGCTACCCTGGCTAGCAGACAAGCCTCCTAGAATGCCCCTCTTTCTTGGCAGCTCATCCAAGTACACAGGAGCCTGAATGCTAACTGGTACCCAACCCATTGCAATCATCATGTTTCCCTGTCTGAGTAGTATCTCAGAGGAATTTCGGTGGGGGAAAAGAGCCATCCCCAATGCTGTGCTCTACAGTCTGATCCAAAGCTCTTGGAAATCAGTGGGAAGATGCCAAAGGACTTCAAAATGTCTTCTGGATCAAGCACTTGAAGACTTGCTTATGGTGAGTTAGGAGAGGCGCAGCTGCTTCCGCAAGAGTATGGGGTAGCTGGAGTTTGTAGCGGTGAGAAGACCCTGATTTATATTTATGTTAACAACTCTTCTGTGACCAGGACACAGTGAAACACTATCCAAGTTGAAGAGATGGGCCTGAGAGTGCAGGATGCTAGGGTTTGTTCTGTGGTGGGCAAAGGGGAAGGAGTCTCCCTGGGCAGGAGTTGGCTAAGTTTGAAGTGGAGGGCAAGAAAATGGCTTTGTAGGCCTGATTCAGCATGCAGTGGCTTGCTGTGAAATGAAAGCAAGTCTCTGCTCTGGGTTTGTCATGATGATTTTTTACTTCTCCATAGGCAACAAGGCTAAGGGGAAAAAGGGGAATGGGTGTTGACAGGGCTGCCTTGCCCTCAGATGATGATGGCGTGGGAGTTGGTGGCTTATTGTGCTCATGTTAAAGGAAATGCCAGGACTTCTCATCCTTTCCTTCTTCCTCCTCCCCTTGTGGCAGACTGATCAGCATCTAACAATGCTGGGCTGGAGCGATGCCTTGCTAAGCTAGTGGAGAGCCAGCACCACACCAGGATTTCCTTCAGCCCCTTTCCTGAAGACATGGTTTATTAATGCAAGCAAGTTTTAGGGTTCCCTTTCACTCTGCTGCTCTGATCTAGGGGCAAGTTCCTAAATGCTTTTAGCTCTTTATAGACCTCTTCCACCAGACCCTTCTCTGCTGGATCACTGCTGCATCTGGTTTGAGAGTCATTTCCCAGTGGTTCATGATGAGGATTGAACCACTGGGGAAATATAAAAGGATGGGGCAGTGGAGCAGGGCTGGCTGGACCCCTAACAACCTCGCTGCAACCCCTGTGAAACCAGAGCACTGATTAGTGTTGCTTACACCTAACCAAATCCTTAAGGCACATCTGTCCTTTGCAATTTGTTTTTCAGGTTCAGTTTTTTATTTTAGATGGCTGGACTGAGCTGTCCCTGCCATTCCTGCATTAGTAACACAATCCTATATTGCTCAGAAAAGCTGCTACAAGGCAAAGACGCATCCTCATTTGCTCTAAAGCTCTATGTCAGCATGCTGGGAGTGCAAAGGGGCCTTGATGTCAACTCTGTGAAAAAGGGTCTCGGTATAAATGAGACTTGGCCCCGTGTATGTTGCTTGCCAGCTACTCAGCTTGCTTATTGTCTCTCTAGCTCATTTAGTACAGGAGTGAAATGCATCTGGCCAATGTTGGGTCTCTAGCTACAGAGTCAGTTGGAAAAATACTCTAGAGGGGAAGGTTTCCACCCAAAAATCCTAACAAACAAATCTGGTCTGGCTTTCATTGACAATGGAAGTAATGTGTTTGTGTTGTTGCAAGCAGGGTCTGAGTGCACAGTGGGATCCACCTGCTTGTATCAGTGCAGTTTTGCCATGTAAGCAAACCTGGATTTGGGGCCTGTGCTTCTGGCATAGGTGCTTTTAACCCTTTCCCCTCAAAACACCCGGGAAGGGAAATGTTCCTAACCCCTGGAACCACGTCGGAGCACAGCCCTGGGGAGGGGGCCGTTCAGGCTGAAGGGATAAGCCAAAGAGCAAAGTTTGTGCATTTCCTGGTTCTCAGTTGAGCATTGGTTTTGCCCAGTCTGAGGAACAGGAGGGCTGCACCCTTTTTGACTCCCCATTTCTCTTTTTCTGTCTCATACTCCAGGTACTTCCAGTGCCCCCCCAAGTTTGGCCTCTTCGCTCCCATTCACAAAGTGATCCGTATTGGGTTCCCATCCACCAGTCCTGCCAAAGCGAAGAAGAGCAAGCGGATGGCCATGGGAGTGTCTGCCCTGACCCATAGCCCCAGCAGTTCGTCCATCAGCTCTGTCAGCTCTGTGGCATCCTCGGTTGGGGGCAGACCCAGCCGGAGCGGACTGGTGAGAGAGCCATTCCACTGTTTATGCAACCTGGGACCCCCCTTCCCCATGCTCCAGCCTTGCACAGCAGTAGGGCTGGAGCTCAGTGTTTCAGTAAGTGCTGCTGCTATGCCACTGTCAGATGAGTAATGGGGAAGGGTGGGAACACCACACCTGACCTTCAATTTTAATTCCTTCCCACCGGGGTGAGAGTTATAATGTGGGGTGACACAGTCATTAATGATCCTCCAGTGCTGTTTGCAAGGGGAGGCACCCTAGCTCGGATGCCACATGCAGGCATTCACTTGCTGTGGTTGCATTCAGCCTCCTGAAAAAGCCCCTTAGATTGCAGGGGTGTGCTTAGACTTCAAAAAAGCCCTTTACATTGCTAGGGGGTTACACCCCTAGATTGCAGTACACCCGCTAGGTTGCAGTGCTCTTTAACTTCCTCTCCTAAATGGATGCGTAGCTGTTCTATTAAACGGCTGCTTCCTTGCAATGTCAGAGGTGCCTCCATGTCATTGCTGCAGGGAAGCAGTTCCCAGGCCTCCTGGATGTAGTGCTTTGGAGTTCCCTCACAAAAATAGGCACCAGGAGATGCAAGATTTTATTAAAAACTCTAGCTACAGAATTTAGAGGGTAATCAATATCTGTTATCATCTCGGCTGTCGGAGGAAGGGGGTCATAGAGACATCTGTCCCTGGGAGCGTGTCCAGCTATCCCATGCTTGTTCTCTAGCTGAGCGCAGAGTCCTTTCAGCTGAGCTCAGTTTGTCTGGAATGTCTTCGGCTGCAGTCGGGGACAAAACACGCTTGTGAAGAGAGAGAGGGTATTCTCTTTTGTAATTGGGATCTGTCCTGCCCCACCCTACTTCTGTCCCTGGAGAGCTGCCATTCCCATCACTGTACTGAAGAGCTAGCTTGTCTGCAGGCAGCCTCTAGTTCAGCGGTCTTCGGTCTCATTGCGAGAGAGATCCCAGCCCACTGTGTGAACTGGACAGCTTGAAGCCAAGTGGGGAGGGGGGAGCCCAGCTCTAGACCCTTCACATCTCGACTTTCCTCTCCAGCTGACAGAGACATCCTCTCGCTATGCCCGGAAAATCTCTGGCACCACAGCCCTGCAGGAGGCACTGAAGGAGAAGCAGCAGCACATCGAGCAGCTACTGGCTGAGCGTGATCTGGAGAGAGCGGAGGTTGCCAAGGCCACCAGCCACATCTGTGAAGTGGAGAAAGAAATTGCCATCCTGAAGGCCCAGCATGAGCAGGTAAAGTCCTACACTTCCTGTTAGAGAGCATCCATCCCATAGAGCTGGTGCTCGTAAGAGGCACAGCACTGATATATAAGCATTGTATACACTGGGAGAACTGTGCTTATGCTGATGGGTTGTAAATTCTTGGCCCCAGGAGCACATACCCTGACAATACATCACTGGCTTGATGCCGTCCTTGGTCCTGGCTGCCCATTGTGGACACCAAAGTATGCATCAGGATAAGGGATAGCACATGGCATACACATGAGCTACACTTTTATGCCTGATCAACATGTCTGAAGTTTGAGAGGGTGGGAAGTAGTCTAATGACGAAAAGGGGGTTTTCTCCTTGGGCCGCTTGCTCCATGTGCTCCCTGCTGACCCTGCCGGCAAGCAAATGTGCTGCGGTATTCTTGGGTTGCTGCCAGATACTGAACTGGAGGCTTGAAGGTTGTTTCACGTAGGGTGCTGAGTTGAGCATAAACTTTGGAGCCTCATCCTGAGTGAACAATTAAGAAAATAGTGCGGCACCATTTCCATGGGAGGCTGGACATTTGTGCAGCTGGGGTTTTGTTCGTGTGAGTGTTGGGGAAAGGCCGTAAGTGCATAAACTTTCATTTCTGAACTGGAGTATGCCCTTCTGGGTGTGGGTACTGGCTGTTCCTGCGGTGAATTCTGTCCTCCTGTTGCTGGATCTTCTGTTGTCCCGTCAGAGCAGGACCGAGGCCATGTGCCCCATCTTCCAAATCACACATCCCTCATAACAACAGTAACCTGGACTCCACTTGAACCTCCATTACTTACACCTTTGCTCTCATCGTTCATCTGTCACGCAGGTCTATGCCCCAACCCTCCCCTTCTCTCCACTCCAGTAAACACTTGCACAAAGTAGTTACCAAACAATTGTGTGCAACAAGTCTATTAATAAACATCAGACTTTCTTCTCTGATAATGGACGAGCAGAACAAACTAATGGAGTGATCAGATAAAATGTTGGCTCCAGATAAGACAAGAGGCTGTATGTACTGACTTATCTGGGCTGGATTTGGCTTGGAGACCTAGTGTTGGGCTTTCAAATAAGCTCAGGAAAAGCTTTACAAAAGGTCCCACTTAGGCACAGAAATATAGGCCAGCCGTTTGGCGTCCAGCAGAGACACTTGCATGCTTCTCTTTTGACCTGCTGAGCTTCCTGGAAAATCCAGTCTTTAAGGATAAGCACCTTCGCAAGGATAATTTCCCAGACCTGTCAACCCCCCCCAACTATTTAAAACCCACATATTGCAAATATAGTTAATGCTACATGGGTTGAGGGGCTTCTTCTGTTGCAGTATGTCACCGAAGCGGAAGGGAATCTCCAGCGTGCACGAGCCCTGGTGGATGGAATGCAAAAGGAAAAGTTTGAGCTGTTGAACCAACTGGAAGAGGAAAAAAGGTAGGATAGCAAGGGGGGGAATAGAAAGGGTGTAAGGAGAAAAGCAGAGCATGCTGCCCTGGAGGGAGAGGGCAAGGGAGCTATGGGTTATGAGCTATGGCAAAGCACTGAGATTACTTCCTCCCATGATGATGATCCAGTTTACATTTAACAGGACCTAGTGCTTCAAAGAACATTATCCATGTTTGATGCTGGATTAAGGATCCGGTGGCAAACGGCAGTAAAAGGATGGATGCAAGTAGCACCCTACGTGGTCTTCTTGGGCAGTGACAGGGTTCTTCAGCTCCACTAGTCTGAACTCCATTGCTGTCAGGGTCCTGATGTGGGCCAGAGATGGGCTCTGATGCATTGATATTAAGGGGAAAAAACGTTCCTCCAGTGTCTTTGGGGGAAGGGACTATTAAGGATGTGCTGGTTCAGACCAGCACTGCTGCAGAATGAGATCATTCATTGTCAGAAAACATTTATTTGGTTTTCAGTAGGTGAATTAAGTTGCCATTGGCAACAGGGAGGGTGTCTTCCTCAAACACATGAAGATGAGGCTGCTGACGGTACTGTACCGAGTTGGCATGCCAACTGGTGCTCAGGCAGGTTCTGTTGCAATAGAAGGTGCAAATGTCAAGTCCTGGCACAGCAGGCTCTTAATACCTGGAAATAAGCAGCAAGCGGACTCCTTTCTTGATCTCGGCACTGATGGTGCAGGTAGTGAAGGACAAGAGCCTACCAAGATGTTGCATTAGCAACTTCATAACACAGTGCCCTGCGTGCCATTATTGAGAGGATGGATAAAGATAATGGAGAATGATCATGTCCTGGGAAGCCCAGGGAGATGGTCAGATACTGATTAGGCTTCCAGCATCTTTGTCTCTTCTGCTATGTTTTGGAAGGCAAGTGCTTGCAAGACGAGCCATGTTAGGGCAGTGGGGCTTAAAGAGCTGAGTATGCTGGGAAAGAGCTGAGAAGTGAATGGAGTATCAACATTGTCCAGCTGCTATTGGGGCCTGCGCTGACCATGGGTGGCCACAAACTTCTCTGGAAGTGTGTGAGTGGTAACTAGTGCAGTAAGAGGGTAGCATCTGATCATTAAAAGCAACCAAAGCAGCCATCCAGACACCAAGAAAGCCATTCTTTCAGACACCAGCGTTCAAGATAAGAGTGTTCCCTGTTGAAAAGTGAACAGAAATGCCCTCTGACTTGGGCTAAGCAGTTCTGTGACCTAGAGTGCATGCAAAGGAAGAGGAAATCCCAGCTGGAGTTCATCCCCGATAACCAAGCACCATCTCTGTCCTGTGTGATGTGCTCCTCCACCCAGCCCCATGCATGTACATGAGCTAGCATGAGACGCTCAGGGCTTGATATTGAGGGCATTGGCTTGTTTGGCGGAGAGCGAAGATCTGTTTGTGTCATCCCAATGGCTCCTCCATTTATAAAAAGCCTTCTGTGGGAGTATAAAGACATTTCTCTGTGTGTGTTTAATAATTGAAAGGAAAATAGTGACTCACTGTTCCTTCATTTGAAAGATGCTCCTACTGACAAAATGTTGCTCCCTGCACAAGTCTTCCCAGGTTTGCTGCAGGCAGCTCCTTTTCCAAGTTACAGGAGGCAGGAGGTTTTCTAACTCAAGACAGCTGAGTTCCCTCCTAAACAGCAGCAGATGCCTCCTCTAATTAGAAGAGGTTTAGAGGTTGTTTATAAAGTTTGAGATGTAGACGGAGAGTTATTTTTATCTGTGGCAGAGAATCACAGAGTCCTTACATCTGGTTCCCAGGGCAACATCTACCACATGTTGTTCTTAAAAACTGTATCGAAAGAACAAAGAAGATCGGATTTACCAAGAGGATTGAAAGACCACTGTACAATTAGTGGGGTTATTTTATATTGTAAACCAGCATCTTGTAGAAGAGGGTACCAGGGGTGGGTGGCTATGTTTGCATGCATGCTCACAAGCCTGTGTCTTCGTGTTTGTGTGATACGCCTCTGTAGTTTTTGTGTCTCCTGTGATGATTTTTCTGCCAGTGCGGCTCATCATTGCCTCCAGCAGAGACCATTAAGCATTGCCCATAGCCAGCTGTGAAAGGAGAAACCCTGAATGTCTGCATATTCAGCCATGAAGGCTTTGACGCTTGGCACTGGGATTTCCCAGTGCTGGCTTGCAAAATGCAGTAGCAACTAGTTGCCCAAGGAGCCGCACTCAATCCCAGCATGCCAGCGCATTCAAGTCAAAATGTTTGGCTGCCCCTTCAGTGCCTCCAGTATCCATATGGGGATGCAGAGCAGCCACGTTCACTGTAGAAGGGCGACATGGCCCAGTGCTTGCGTCGCCAGGCATGCACATTACAGTAAGAACTGTGTCTGCTTTGCATAAGGCTTGCTAATTAAGCAGCCTTGGCCAGTGAATCACTTCCATGAGAAGTACTTGGCTGGTGCTGAGCAGTTTGTACATGGTTTGCCCAACTCCTCCTGCTCCCAGCCTTTTGTCATGCAGGGACCTTTTGTGCCAGCTGCTTGGTGATACAATCCCAGTCCCACTGTTGCTGACTCTGGCCTTTTCTCCCCTGTCCCTCTAGGAAAGTGGAGGACCTGCAGTTCCGTGTGGAGGAGGAGTCCATTACCAAGGGTGATCTGGAGGTAATTCACTGCAACGTGTGGGTCTGAAACTGTGCCTGCATTCGACTGTTGTCTCTGGCAATCTCTGCTGCCTTTTGCCCAGTGCTGAGCAAAATATGTTGTTGTGGGGAGGCTGATGATTCATTACAGGGTGTCACCGGTGTTGAATGCCATAGAAGAAAAAGTTTCTCTCATCTGTTAATTGGGCACTGGGAATCCTAGAGACCCATGCAGCGCTAGAGCATGGTTTCTAAATGAGGCACTCAGTCATGTCACAGTACACATGAATTAAGCTGTGCATGTGTGTAAATGCCTTGTAACATATGTATTCTTACTGTAGGCTGGTTTGGCAGTGCAGCCACTATCCCCGCTGCCACTGGTTCCTAATGGGCGCTGTAAGGCACGTGGTCTTGTATTGCACGAGAGCTGTGATGTTCCAGTTCCTTTCTGGGTACAATGCCACACGTGCTTAGTCCTTCCCATGAAGTCATCTTCTCACTCAACGTTGAGATGCCCTTTTGTGTTTCAGAAGGGCTAGTGGTCTGCGTGTGCATAGGCATAACGGCACTGGCACATAGCTGTTTGTGAAGTGTGTTGTATGGCTCTAGCAAGGTGACAAGCTGTGGAGGCACAAGCACCTCCTAGTTAAGGATATTATTAGATGGGGAATTTCTGCATTATTTGGCAGATGGAGCAACTGTAAGCAAGAGACACAGCATGGAAGTCAGACTCTGCAGATTGCACAAGGCAGATCTTTTCTTTCAAACACATAAATGTGCATAGCCTCCAGGCGTCCTGCTTCTCCACACATCCTGTGCCTGGAGGAGATCACCTGTAGCAGTGACAGGTTCATTTGTTCACCGGGGTTCATTTAGGCCTTGGTCTCTGTTTTTGAGCAAGTACAGTGTATAGGGCTGCTCTACGATGCAAGTCAGTTTATTGAAGAAGCGTCTTCAAGAATTTTTGCATTTTGTAGGTAGCAATTATTGTTATCGTTCAGTCTGAGTTGTAAAGATCAGTGGTGAACTTCCTTAAATTTCAGGGATGCTCTGGATTTAGGTATTTTGGTCTAGCCTAATTACGGCGGAAGAAAGCAATGGGTATGATGTAAGAGTTGACACAAGCTTTCATTCTAGCCTCGATTTGAAGCCATGTTTAAGGTCGTGAAGTTCATTTAAGTGTCTTCCCTTTGTTTTTATGGTTTTCATGTACCCCTACATGAAAATCATAAAAATTGGCTATCAGTAGAGTTCATGGAAGAGGGAGCGAGGCTGCTCATGCAAAGTTTTACATAAGTACCTATGTCCAGAACCCAGTATGAGACCTTTTTGTTGCAAGATTCCTAGAATAGTTTTGAAGCTGGTCAGCAAAAGAGCCCATGCTTAGGTTATATATTCCTGACTCTGTGCAGAACAGGAAGGTATATTGGTACCATAAGCAAAATGGACTGAGAGCTACTAGTGGAGGTCATTTTGATGATTGATGTATATGAACGTTCATTTAGAGACATTGGGCTATATTACCAGTGTAAATTCATAGTAACTCCATTGAAAATAATGGAATAATTCAGAATTAATAGCACTCTTTATGGAATCTGGCCCAAGGGGGAAGGGGAGGAGAGATTCAACAAGATGACAGTTTTCCCCACCTTTTCCATAATAAATATCCAGCCTACTTCTTTCCTTTACTCGATTCTTTGGAGCACTTGATAGGGCTTGGAGGCTTGTTTTCGGGAACTCATCTGTGGTCAAAGAAACCAGACAAAATCTGAAGTGTCCTAAATATAACTGGCTGCCCTGATTTTTACTATGTTTGGAAATGTCAAATAATATTTTCCAGATTTGTCCAACCTGAAACTTTCTCCATTCCCAGAAGCAGAGCCACCAAAAAAAGAACAGAAAAAAGAAAAAGGAAACATAAGATAAAACAAACCCCTCAATTTAGCTTTGACATGGGTGTGGGGAAAGCCAATAACAAAGTAGAAAGCAAAGAACAGGAAATTGCCTAGAAGAATTTGAATAATAATATAGTCCCAGTGGTGTTGGTGGATCAACTTTGCTCCAATAAAAAAAATATTTTTGAGAGTTAAAAATATGACAGCTGATGTTTGCATGCGTTTATTTTCCCCTTTCTGTACGGGGAATTTACATGATATCGTCGGTGGCCATTGCTGATGTGCTTTAGTTAACTGTGCTACCGATAATGAACGAGTGTTTGGTGATTAAAGAATGGGGCATTGAACCAAAAGTCCTGGGTCCTAGTCATGGCTCTGGCAAAGAAGTTGGGTAAGTGTCTTAACCTTTCTGTTCCTCATTTTACCCAACTGTATAATGGACATAATTACACTTTACACTTCCCTTACCTTACAGGACTATTGTGAGATGATTCAAGTTTGAAAATCATTTTGAAACCTTAGGTAAAGGTGCTGTGTAAATGCAAAGCACTGAAATACTTCGGAGTTAAATTTCCCTGATTTATATATGTTTCTGGTATTTTCAGTATGCTTTGTACAGTGGAACCTGCACTGGTCAACTTCTGCACAGGTCAAATGCTCTGTTCATAGCAAAAGATGAATGAGATTTCCAAATTGTTCCCAGCACATGGCATTGTGTCGAGAGAAACACTCGAATTGATGGTCTTGCAGAGATCCAGCAGAAAATCTTTGTGTCATCACTTGATTCCCTTTAAGATAAACTTTACTGGGACACAAATCTTGGGCCTCTGCTTTGGGTGAATTTTGGCTACTAGACTCATCCAACTCGGGGCCCGAATTGAGGAAAGCATGTAAGCACTCCTCTGGGCTAGAGAGGTGCTGTCTTGCATTGGGGCTGATCAAAGACTCCACTGGATCCTAAGTAGCCACCACAGGTACCATGTAAAATCCCTTAGTAACTGATTTTTGTTTGGATGAGTTTTCCTGCCTGTTGAGACCTTTATTTTCTTTCTGTTGTGAACTGCCTTTCCTTGTCTTGTACTGAAGATGATGTTGCAGCCTTCTCTCTCTCTCTCTCTCTCTCTCTCTCTCCCCCTCTCTTTCTCTTTCTCTCTCTTTTCTGCTCTTTCTCCCATGTTGTTCTTTTTTCCCTATGTGTGACCAGACTCAGACGCAGTTGGAGCATGCCCGAATACGGGAGCTCGAGCAGAGCCTGCTGTTTGAGAAGGCACAGGCTGAAAAACTCCTCAAAGAATTAGAGGATACCAGGGTAATCCCAGCCCCACTTACCCTGCCTGCAGAACAATGTGCTTGCCAGCTGCATTGATGCCAGCAATGCCTTGCTTTGGATTTGGTTTATTTTTGTTTTGGTTTGAGTTTGGGCTTCCATGATTTTTATTTTATTTTTTAATTTTATTTGCTCTCCCTTCTGAAAACAGTAGCCCCATATAATTTTCCCCTCCGCTTCTTGTGTGGTGACTCGTTTTGGAGACTTGAGTTGGCTTCTCAGCCCCATGGCACCATTTGACACACGAGCTCTTCACTGTTGGATTAACATGGCCATATAAATAACCATAATTAAACCCTGCCTGATTCATTTTTCTGCTTCCAGAGGTTTCTTTTGTGCTACAGTAGGAAATAACAGCATTCCATTCATCATGTCCAGCATCCTTCTTCCTGTTGTGGGTGCTTCAATTTGAGATAAAAAAACCAAACCAAGTGGCACGTCCAAGTGGAATTGCTCCTTAGGTTTTAAGAAACAGCCTTGGTCACTGGGATTGGTTAGACTCTACATGGGAAGGCAGGAGATGCCCTTAGAGGAGTGATACACCAGGCCTTCCCAGAAGCTTATCTGGAAAGAGTTTGATGTAGCAGGGAGCATGGTTGACTTCTTTTTTGTTTTTGGTTTTTTTTTTTTAATGAGTGGATTTGTCATTTCTGAACTTATAAGAATCGCCGAAGAAAATAATCAAGACAAGGATTTTCCCAGCTGGCCAAAGGGATTGGAGCACCCAGTCTGTATTAAAATGAGTGGGACTCGGCTGTCCAGATCGACTAGGTGACTTCAAAACACTTCGTCAATTAGAAATGGAATTGATGGATTTATGCTTTGATGCTAGATGAGGACATGCTGTAGATCTACTTGTTTGGTTGGTGTTCTTATTAAACATTTTCTTCTGATCAGTCCTTCTGTCATAGGCCCGTAGCCCCTGCAACTCCACACAGGCCTCCTCCATGATCTGCAGAGCAGAAAGGTTGAAGTAGGTAGCCAAGAAGCTGCTCAAAAGCCCATCCATGGCCAGCTGTTTGTCTTCACATCCTCAAGCATTCTCCCTTATTTTACTTTGCTAATAAATTCTAACAAGTCTTTGTGCATAGAAGTCCCTTTCTTTTTACACCAGGGTACATCAGCTCGGCTCAGGGAGTTGTAAGCTCAGAACTGCTGAGCAATAAAGGCAATTTCCGTGATGCACATGAATCTTGGCTTTAATACCGACAATATTTCTGAGTGCACAGTACTATTTCCTCTGTGTGTCATTTGGCAAGCAGCCCAGTACAGAAATATAATGGAATTTCAGGACATTATTTTTAATAAATTGCTGTCGCTTCCAGGGAGCTAATATTTCAGCAGTCATTTTAAAGAGACACGTTGTTTCTTGTGAAAACCGGCAAGTCGGGTTGGAAGCAAGAATTAAAACTGGCAGAAAGATCTTGCCACCAGAAGGTCTTGGCAGTAATTACCCTGGTGTAAAAATTGGAATTGGATTGGGGGATGTAGTTTTTCTTTCTTAATCTTTGACTAATGTGCTTGGGACTTACTGTTGCTGTAGAAAGGAAACGGCAAAGAAAGGTGGGAAATGAACTATCACGTCTCTTCTTTATTGTTTCAGTTGACCACGGTGGAAGAGAAGTCGAGAATCCTGCAGCTGGAGGAAGAGCTGAGTCTCAGGCACAGTGAAGTGGAGGAGCTCAGACAGTGTCTAAAGAACTCCCATCAGGCCGAGACTCCTGAGCCCAACCTTGGCTTGCATTCAGAGGCTCTTCGTTTGCGAGACCAACTGCTGTCTGCTAACAAAGAGCACCAAAAAGAGAGCAGTCAGCTGAAGGAAAGGTATGAGAAGACCCTGAAGAAATACCAGCAGGAGATGGAGAAGCTGAAAGCCACGAATGAAAAGTACTCCCAGGAAATAGTTGACCTAAAACATAAAGTTCAACAAGCCACCAATGAGAATATGGGGTTGATGGACAACTGGAAGTCCAAGCTGGACACCTTGGCTTCTGACCATCAGAAGTCCCTGGAGGATTTCAAAGCCACCCTCAACACAGGGTCTGAAACCCAGCACAAAGAGATAGTAGAATTGAAAGCCGTGGTAGAGAGCATAAAGATGGAGCACCAGCTTGAGCTGGAGAACCTTAAAGCCAAGCATGATATTGAGACTGCTGTTCACATAAAGGAGAAAGAAAGTCTGAAGCTGAAGCTGCAGGAGGCCAGGGATGAAATGGAAAAAAGCAACAATGACTGGAAAATGCAACTGGAAATCAAAACCAACCAGCACCTTATAGAAGTTCAGGACATGAAGGACAAGTACCGAGATGCCGAACTGAGAGTGCACGAACTGGAGAAGCTACACAGTGAATATAAAGACCAGACACAAGCAATAGCTTTCTTGAAAGAACAGATTTCTCTGGCTGAGAAGAAGATGTTGGACTATGAGACGCTACAGAAAACAGAGGCCCAGAGTAAGCAGGAGATCCAAAGACTCCAGGAAAAAGTGCTCGTCTTGGAGAACAAACTGCAGTCCATGGAGGCCCTGCATCCTTCTCAGCACGCAAATGTATGGGTTGGGTTATTCTGCTTGTATTGTCTCGTCCGTGCTGGTTTTTTTTCTCCTCAAATGAGCCTTCATTCTCGTGGGCTTCTAGGCTTCAAAGTAGCTTATTATTTTTAGCATCCATCAATCTCTCCAATTATTTTTCTGAATGGAGCCCCGGTACTGCACGTATGTTTCCCCTGCCAAGAAGACAGGAGAGCAGGTTTCAATGCAGACATAGAATTAGAAGGGAAAGGAGATGAAAGGCAGCAAGTAGGAGATGTTTTGAGTTTTAAAGCTGAATTGGCTTTATTCTTTAGCACTGACAGTAATGCAGTTGCTGAGGGGCTCTGGGAAGGAGAGTCTCTTCCCAATCAAGTAGCATTCTTGGCTAATGAGGTACTTCAGCAATACAGCTGTTTCCAGAGTGCTACGGCAACCTATCACATTACCGGAGAGGCCCACTCTGGGTATGGGGGGGAAGGGAGCAGGAGGAAGAGGCATTTCCTGCAAGAAGAAACGAAGCTTGTTGCCTAGCTCATGCCTTAAGAGGGAGCACTTGAGAGGGGATTCTGCTGGGACTCAACTTGGGTAGCTGGTTTAGAAGATGAATGCCAGCAGACACGAGTAGACAAAGCTGAGGTCTTTCCCATGCTCTCTACAAGTACATCAGTCAAGGAAGTACCGAGTGATCAGGATGGAGGTTTTAAATGTAACGTGAGTTTCTGTGCCCACACCTGGAAGCTTGCCCATGGCACCCCTGTGACCTTTCTCATGCCGCAGAATCAATGGGCACCATCAGGGAGGAAGTATGAATGTGGAGGGCTTGAGAATGGGTCGCTCTAGCTCTAGCCCTGGCTGTCACGGTTTTGCTCTGAAGGTTGGGAAGGTTCGTTTAATTGGTCAGGTAAAATAGGAACATTGATAAGTCCTGACCAGGCAGGCGTGTTTACAAAGGAAGGTTATCATGGAGCTGAAGGGAGCAGTCTCATGTTGGTGGGAGGGGAAGGAAAGTCAGCCATCCAAGAAAAATGGCGCACGCAACAAAATGCCCGTCTCAAAGTTGACTCATCTGATTACAAATGCTCATTGAAAGCCAGACAGTAACTATAACCATCATTATCATGGAGGGGTCAACTGTCTGTTGTATCCAAGCTTATTATAGGTGTCTTTTCCAGAGGCTTTGCAGTGATTATACCCTGCTTTCTGTTACACGATACCATCCCATCCTTATGAGATGACATACGAATTTGTCTGCAACTTGCTCACCCCATTCATACTGGGGAATGGAAAAATTGCTGCACAGTCGCTGTGAGTTTGTATCCCTTGCCTGTACTTCAGCTTTGTACCAGACACTAAATGAAAAGGACATTTATAACGAGAGAGATTTCCTGGCCCCTTGGAATACAAGAGAGCAAAGCAAGTCTGGAAATATATGTGGTTTGCTTGAGAACATTGGTTTGAAAAATACACTCATGGAATGTCACGACTGTTCCCAAACCAGGGTTTCAGTCATGTAAACATTTATGCATGAGCTTAACTTTACTGTTCCCAAGTAATTTCCTTGATTTTGATCATGATAGTAAAATTAAGGGCAATTTGGGCTTGATGTTACAATTAAATGTATGTTTATCAGCTAGGACGGAAAGGAGAGAAGCAAAGAAAGTGGAAGGAATTTTAAGTGTTAGTGGCATGTCCAACATGTGTCCTTTATCCTAGTTAGTCACAGGCTCTGAGTACAGGTCCCCTAAAAAAATGTAGTGGGTTTATTACTACAGGATATCAGTGCAATGTGGAAGAGATCCAAAGAAGAGTAAATGCACAGGAGTAAAAGCCAATCCCCCCCTACTAAAATAGAGCTAGGGACAGAAATTACACATAAATGGTTTAAGTGATGAGAAACTAGTTTAACCCTGTAACAGAACAGAAGTTCAGTGCCCATAAACCAGTTTCAAAATGGCCAAAACCGATTTGAGAGAAACTTGGTTGAATGTAGTATCAGACTGATTGAGCTCAAACTGGTTTATGCAACTTCTGTCCCAGACGCCTTCCTCGTTTAAGTTAAACCAGAGTCCCCCAGCATCCCAGCATGCTCTCTGGGCTGTTCTCTCTGCTCCAGCTGAGCAGGGCTTGCCCCACCCTTTATGCTCCCCAGCTGGAGCAGGGACAGGCGGGGCAGGGGCCTGGCTAGGCACTGGCCCCAGAAGGAAGCAGAAAAGAGGTTTGTTGCACCTCCCATCCCCCTACCCCGTCTCACCAGCATGGACTTGCATGTCTCTACTGGCTGCTCCAGCAGCAGGTGCATGGCCAGCCCTGGCAGTACCCTGAGTGAACTGGCCAGGGAGGGGGTTTAATTCCCTCCTCCCTGCCCCATGGACCCAAGCCGGGCTCTGCCGGCATTCCCCCCTCACTGCCGCGGTGTTGGGGGCATGGCCAGAGGTCAGCCAGTGTGGCCCCCTGAGGGGGGGGCAGGGACAAAAG